TCAGCATATTCTACATGCAAATATTAGCAGTTATTCTCAGAAGTCACCTACAATTAAGTCCTGCAAAAGACACCCAGCCAGAACCTACCATTCAATTTTTAAGCTTTAATTATTTCTTATGTGCGTTTTTTTGGGGGGAGGGGGTAAACAAACAGAACACATTCCCCACACCCCAAAAACAAAGCAAACGAAAAAACTATTTAGCAGCACACACAATAATGGCAAACACAGAGTCCTTACCATGAGCCATGCTTTATTCTAAGTTCTTCTATGTGTTTTTATTATTTATTTTATTTGGTTCCCACCTCCTACACCCCCAACACCCCACCCCAATGCAGGATATCGCTCTGTCACCCAGGCAGGAGTGCAGTGGCATGATCATAGCTCACTGCAGCCTCCAACTCCTAGGCTGAAGTGATCTTCCCACCTCAGCCTCCCTGAGTAGCTGGCACTACAGGGAAGTATTACCAGCCTCACACCAGCTGAGCTATTTAAAAAAAAAAAAAAAAAAAAAGTTCTGTAGAGACAGAGTCTTGCTATGTTACCCAGGGTGGTCTAGAACTCCTGGCCTCAAGTGATCTTCCTGATCAAGACAAAGTGCTTTAACATGTTAACTTGTTTAATTCTCCCTACAACCCTTATAAGGTACTATTATAATTTCCATTTTACAAATGGGGAAACTAAGACACAGAGAAGTTCAGTGATTCATCACACAGTTAGTCAGGGTTGAAGCTAGCATTTGAATCCATGCAGTCTAGCTTCATCATGCTCCTAACCATTACTCATACTTCCTTCTTTGTGTCTATCTACTCCAAAGACTGAAAAAGAACACTAGTAGCTTTAGTTGGGTTACACTTGGTATACTGGCATATCTTAATAAATTCCAGTATTTTTCAACAGGCAAACATTTTTTTTTAATGAGCTATGCTTGCTTCTTAATGACAGAGTCAGATTTAATAAAACATGGCCCAGCAAGATTACCCGATATATAAGCAAACTGAAACTAAAAATGACTTTATAAAACTAGTAAGCAGACTAACATTTTTGTTATTCCTCCTGTTTTCAAAACCATTACAGATACACATTACAGAGTTCTTTAAAAGCAGACCTAAAAGACGCTTATGAAGAGAATAGTATATCGGAAATAGTAGTTAGAGGTCAAAAAGCATACAGCTGGGTGCAGTGGCATGTCCCTGTAGTCCTAGCTAATGAGGAAGCTGAGGAGGGAGGACTAGCCGAGGAGTTTAAGTCTAGCCTGGGCAACAGTGAGACCCCCATCTCTTAAAACAAAAAAACAAAGAACTTAAAAAGTATAAAAACAACAGAGAAAAATAAATCCCTCACTAGAATCTAACATTTATTAACTCAGTGGCTGGAAAACTACAAAGGAAAAATGAAGACACCCATCTTTGAAAATAATACAATCTGCAAACATGCAGTAACCCAGATTTACCTACATACATTTACTAAAAGTACATGACGCAGTGGGCAAGCCTGAATATTGTTAAATTGACACTAGTTTAACATGTGTGTTCAAACACTGTGTGAATTAGCCAGTCTACCTTTTTTCATAGTGGCAGTAAAAACAGATTACATATTGTTGATGGCATAAGTTCCTTAAAGTGAATGTTAGCTTCTGTGGCTTCAGGGCTTGAAATCACTATCTGAGAAGTGTTCCGAGGCAAGTGTGATACAATTGTGAATGTTGCTGAGAAGAAAAAAGGCTGCAAGAACAACTATTCCAAATGGGGCTGCCAAAGTTGCCTGGACTCTCTACCTTGCTGTCATTTTTCCATGGAAAAAGAACTCGGTGAAAAAGAGTATGTAACAAATGTACACAGAATGCTTCTAATTTACAATATAAGAGAAGAATATGAACTTATACACACAATTTTAGACAATGCTCTATAAAATGAAAATATTATACTTACCAAGTTATTTAACTTGGATAGATCTGGCTTTAGGATAAGTCTTCGGTGGGTGGTTCATATTTAAACTATACCACAAACAAATCTTAAAGCTTTAACTATTAGAAATTATTATAAGCCAAAATTAATGCTGATGCAAATATGCAGAATCACACTATCAGGCTAACCGGACAATGTATCATGTACTAAATTGACGAACAGTGTAATATTAATAATATTAGGTTATTAAGTATGAAATGTCTGATTTCCTTAAGTGCTAAGTTTGACAGCTGGTATCTCTGACGTTCACTTTGACACTTTGTTTTATGTTTACTGTAAAGGCACATCCTCAGTCTTTCAAATGCATGTTTTGGCTTGGGATTATCTTCCAAAGTTTTTTTTTGGAGCAATTTTTGTGAAACCATGGATAAGTCAAAAATTCATGTTATTTTGAATATGAGTTCCATCGTGGAACCAGTGCAGTGCAGACAGCTTGAAATATTAACGAAGGCATTTAATGAAAGCACAGTGCATCAGTGGTTTGAGAAATTCTCTTCTGGTGATTTTCATCTTGAACATGAGTCACATGGGCGACCTGAGACCAAAGTGGATAATGATGAGCTAAAAGCTGTAGTGGAAGCGAATCCATCTCAACCTACGTGTGAATTAGCAGCAACATTTGACATTACTATTCCAATAATACTGGACCATCTGAAACAAACTGGCAAGGTAAAGAAGCTGGATAGATGGGTTCCACATGAATTAAATGAGCATCAGAAGACAAATCGTCTCGAAGCTTGCCTTTCTTTGATGTCATGACATAAAGGTGAACCATGTCTAACTGTACTGTTACGTGTGACAAAAATTGGATTCTTTTTGACAATCACAAGCATTCAGCACAATGGTTGGATAAAGACGAAGTGCCACAGCACAGTCCAAGATCGAATATTGATCAAAACAACAACAACAAAAAAAGCTAATGGTATCTGTTTGGTGGTCCAGCGCTGGTATTATCCACTGCAGCTTCATGAAACCTGGTCAATCGATTACAGTGGATGTCTACTGCAACCAACTGGACGAAATGATGAGGATGCTTGAGATTAAGCAGCTGAGATTGGTCACTGGAGACAAGCCAATCCTCTTGCAAGACAACATTTGACCACATGTCACACAAACAATGCTGCTCGAACTACAGCAGCTGGACTTGGGAACTCTCTGTTATCCACTGTATTCACCAGATCTTGGGCCAACTGACTACCACCTTCTTCCAGGCTTGGGACCATTTCTTGCAAGGAAAAATATTCAATTCTCAACAAGCTGTGGAAAAAGCCTTTCGCAATTGCACCGCCACTTGCTGCTCTCCAGGCTTTCTTCACTGCTGGCATAAACAAGCTACTGTTAAGATGGCAAAACTGTATCGACAGTTTAGGCACATACTTTGATTAATTGTTTGCTTCTTGTTTGAGATATGATAAACAACACTTTTGATTCAAAATCGGACATTTCATATTTAATGACCTAATAATAATGGAATAGCAGTAATTAAAAACTAGAAAAATAATGAAAAAAAAAGAAAGCAAGCAAGGAAGTAAGGGGAAATTGCAGCCAACTTGACATAATTCTAGGATAAAATTTTTTCTGGAAAATGGCTAAAATTCCAATTATATCCAGGTACATATGAATAGTGGAAGATTTGTAACATCATAGAATACTGAATTAGAGTCCTCAGTAAACTTCTTTATATGTTAATTTTAGTTCTGAATATCAAATTTTAGTAACTCCTAACTTATTTATTAGTACCAAGTTCTTAGATATATGAACAAATGAAAGTTTAAGGAAGTGGGCAAACTGACTATTCAGAACAAAGGACTGGCATTTTTAGATCTGTTCCAGGGCCACCTGGAGAAGCCTTAAGGCGCAATATGGGCTGCAGATCATGAAGAATCACTTGTTTGAACACATATTTAATGCAAGATAAAATCTATCTCCCTCCTCACCTTCCATACATGTAACAGGGACAAGGCTTCAACATTATCAGGATATAGATAACCATTAGGAATGTATTAGTAACGTATATAGAGAATTACGCTTATCAAAATATCTCACAACTGTACAGTGTGCTTTGCAGCTTACAAAGTTCTTCTATATGCATTATTATTTACATTCATTGTGAGAAGATGAAATTATCTCCACTCTAAAGACAAAAAACCCAAGGTCCAGAAAAGTTAAGTGTCTTGCTCAAGGTCAAGTTAGACATTTAGCTAAATGGCAGAGCCGGGACTTAAATTCAGGACTTCCTGTTCCTAGAGTTCATGGTCTCCGTACCCCCCAACTACTATAGGCCAAATCTAGAAATCAAATGAAGTATGTAAAAAGGCTTTGCAAAACTAACAAGAACTAGAAGGATTTTATTATGAAGATCATTAATCACTCACTGATGCACCAATGACATTACCTATGCCTGGGCCCTACCTAAGCAATTTAATCTCTACTGTGGTCCAGGCGTTAGGACTTTCAAAATCTACCCAGGGCAGAGACCTTCTGATCTCAGTTAAATGATACAAATAGCAACAGAGCTTTATAAACATGCTTTTTCACTCCTGTTTTACTTTTACATTTCTCTTTTATATTAATTAGTGATCACATTTTAATTAGACATGGCATGTCAAGAGTTTAAGAAGTCAAAGTGCTGACTTGAAAGTTTCGGTATTAGTCATAAGGATGGTGTGCAAATCTGAACGATACCAATAACATGAAAATATTTTTTGTGCTGCGTTATTTTTTTAAAACTCTATTCAATATTTAGAACTTTCAATTTAAAAATACAGCCTTGTACAACTGTATCAATGAAAAATACAAAAAAGTACAGCCTTTAGTTTGTGCTATTAAGTACATTTGAAAATCGCAATCTTCAACTGAAGATAACCCAACTATGTTTATAAAATACTACATTTAAATGGTATTCATTTGAGGAGTAGGAAGCTTTACAGCACTAACATAATAAAATAATAATTGAGGTATTTAAGGAATAAATTCAATGGCAATTAGCACTGAAAATCATTTAAAAAATAGTGGATACTGCACCAATCTTACCTTTTGTAGACTTGTTGGATTCAACTGAGTTTTGTCAATTATTTTTATTGCAACCTAGAAAAAATAATAAATATTTAGGAATTTTAAGAATTTAGTAATTACGGAATAACACATGGCATCGTTAAAAAGTGAGCAAACTTGAAAACCTAACACTTAGCAGTACAATAAGCAACTGTAACTTTATAAAACTGTACAACTGAAAATAGGAGCTTCATAAAAATAAGGGTTATAACATTTTATATTTAAGTTACTTATAGACAAGGGGGAAATTATCTCCTTCAAAGCACAAAAAGAAAAAAGAGATACAGAATATAATGAAAACACTTCTAGAACGATACGCTATTTAGCAAATCTGACACTTTAATTTTAGCTGACTCTGTGATCCTAGGGCAGGAACTATAGCTTTTACAGGTTTATATAGCCCAGAATACTCCCTAGAGTGTATTGTACAGTAAGAACTTAAGTGAATAAATAAATAGGCCAGTGTTGAATCTGAAAACTTTAATAACATTTAAAAAAAAAAATAGAAAAACCCGTTATGCAGTTACAGAAGGACCAATCTGTGGGCTAACCAACTGAAATAAGTACAGAGGCAACAGAAGGGCCACCTGGCAGCCTTTGCTCAGAAACAGGTGAGTACACCAGCATATAAAAATAAGCTGCTAGGATACAGGAAGAAAGAACTATAGCTTCCATTTATGTGCATTTTTTATCCTAAAGAAATAAGAATCGCTTTTACTCATGTTTACTAAGTAGACCTGCACCAACACCCTCACCTGGTCAGCTTGTCACTGGTTGGATGAAAATGACTTCTGTGGACTGTGGGTATCCAGAATGAGGGGAGGGTAGCAGTGATGAGGGAAGGGAACTTAAGTGGAGAGAGGCTTTGCCATGACTAGGGAATATAAATTAAATCAGCTTTGAACCTGAGGGCCATGTCAGCAAATGAGCCCACCCCGTAAGATCAGAGAGCACGCTTCCTGCCGCGCATCCTGCAGAACACACATCCAGTGAGACACAGCACTGAAGGAGCATCTGCAGCCAAAATGGGGAAAGGGCCTGGACATTCTCTGTCAATCATTCTCACACTTTTTGGTCCCCTTTACACTCTTAAAGATTACTGAGGACCCCAAATGTGGGTTATGTTAATGGATATTTATCATATTACAAACGAAAACAGAGAAATTATAAAAATGAGTATTTAGCAATTCATTTCAAAATAATAAACCTACTACATGTTAACATGAATAATTTATTTTTATGAAATTTTCATGGGTGCTTCTGCATTCAATCTGTTGTGATTATCACATATCATGTAGTCTCTGGAAAATTCTACTCTACATGTATAAAAGAGAGAATGAAAAAAGCAAATGTTTTAATAGTATCACAAAAATAGTTTTGACTTTGCAGGCCCCTTGAAAGGGTCTCAGAAAACCTCCAAGGGTCCCATACTCAAAGTATAGGCCATACTTTGAGAATGGCCACACTATGCATTAACATTGTTTTTAAAAAACTGCTTAACTTGGTCCGAAGCCTCTGTGTGCCCTAGTTATTTATTCGCTATGAATCTATAACCTCCAGAAGAGCTACAGAAAGGGAAACGTGGCAGTGAGGCATCCACCGATTCTGACCCTGGAGTGGAAGTACTATCACCCCCAGCCCCAGGGGGAGGCAAATCAGAATTGGGGAAGGAGCGAAGAGTAAATGAATGAGTGTTTCAGTGGAAAGTAAAGAAGCGGAAGACAATGATGGCTGATGAAATATGCAAACACTGACGACCCTGCGCAGATCTCAGTCAAGGAAAAGACACCTTATTCACTTTCATAGCCCTAGCCTACCACCTAGCACACGAGGAGTATTCAATAAAAGTTTGCTGAGTTGATCTGAGGCCTCAAACACCATAATCAGTAACCAAACACACATTAGAGATGGAGAGAGGACAGTGAAGAAATAGGGCTTCTGGTGTTTTAACAGAACAAAGTGGTTTTAAAAATTATATAAATCAAAGTCCAGCGAATTAATTTCCTTCGAACTTTACTTTCACTGGTAATTTTATGTGGTGTACTTGGATCTCCCAATTCCAAAGAAACATGTTAGATATTCTTTTCTGGCCTCCATGTTTTCCTCCCCCTCCTCCTGGCCAAATCTGTGAAACATGCTGCTGTTCCAGTTCTTCCCTCTGGTCTTTTGAGAACTGGTTTCTATTCTCATGACTGGACTCAATCACGTTTTTTTTGTGGTTCTGCTCAATATCCTCCTTCTATTCTAAAGATTGTCTTCTGATTCTGTTTATACATTTTCATCTCAGATACTACTATTCGAATAGCATCTGAAGCAAAAATAGGAGCTCAAATATGTTCCATCCAGCTTAATCAAACTGTAGAAAACAGTCATTTTATCAAAAGCAACAGTGTCCCCAGAGTGAAACATCATTTAAGGTGACATGTGTATGTGCAGTGTGAGGGGGAAGTTCCTAATTCTCTCCTCCTCCCAGCTCTCTGCTGGGAAGACGCAACCAAAACAACCCTGGCCCAGAGCTGCAGCCTGGGGAGTTCAGAGAGAGCTGAGACCCTGAGGGCGCCAAAAGAGGCAGGAACTGTGAATGTCACTGGTTGCTGTGCCTCAGAAAGGTGAAGCCTGGAGAAGACCCCCTCCCCACTCATTCCTATGGCTGTGGAGTTGGGTGAAGGGGACACAGCAAAGGCCAAGGGGGGTCACTAGGTGAGGAAAGAGGAATGCCAGTGCCATGTCCTGTGTAAAGTTCTGGGAAATTCCATTTATAGTCACCCTGATGCCAGAAGCAAAGAGGAAAATTACAAAATAGGGATAAGATCTGCTCATACTTAAGAAGGGCTTCCCCCAACAAGCCTCAACCAAAAGGGCCCAAAGAACCCACAGCACCCATCCATTGGAGAAATATCCTTGCCTGTCACTTTCTGTCAATTCGCTACTGGTCAAAAGATCCTAACACCCTCCTCCTGAAAGGTGTTAAAGCATCCACAACAACTAAAAGAGCAAGCAAAAAAAAGAAAAAAAAATCCCAAATCCTTTAAGGGGATAGAGTAGCCTGAAGGATGGGGTATTAGTCAGCTTTAGCTGCAATACATAACATAGCACCACAGACTGGGTGGCTTAAACAACAGAAATTTATTTCCTCACAGTTCTGGGGGCTAGAAGTTCAAGATCAGGGTTCTGGCGAGGGCTTTCTTCCTGGCTCGCAGAGTCATCTTCTCACTGTGTCCTCACACAGTGGAGACAGCAAGCTCTCTGGTGTCTCTTCATATAAGGGCACTCTAACCCTAGCAATCAGGGCTCACACTTATGACCTCATTTAACCTATACTCTATCACCAAGTAACAGTCACACTGGGGGTTAAGGCTTTAACTCACAAATATGGGGGTATACAATTCAATCCAAAGCAAAGGAGACTAAGCCAAACAACTACAACAGTTGGCTACAAAAGGAAACTTCAACATTTAAGAATGTTACAAGACGCAGATACAAAATAATGTACTGCATGATTCCATTAGTATAATGCTTTTTAAAAAAACAGACAAAACTAATCTAGCATATTAGAGGTCAGCACAGCGGCTCCCCTGGGGAGGAGGAACAGTGAAGTGACTGGAAGGGGGCAGAAGCAAGAGGCTTCTGGGTGTGGGCCAGAGCATTTTTTTTGCCCTGGGTCATGGTTATGCAAATGTGTTTACTTTGTGATAATTCATCAAGCTAAGTACTTTTTCAGTGTGTTATATTTCAATAAAAAGAGTTTTTGTGTGTTTGAAATGTCAATGACTTTAAGAAAACCATAATAAAAAGTCTACAGATAATGCCTAGAACTGAAAAATAAATAAGAACAGAAGCATGTTATAAAGATACGAAAGTAAAACCTAAATAATCAGTTTAAAAGACAAAGTGGCCATCTTGGCAGACTAGGAAATGGGGGCCATGGGGGTCTAGGTCTGCAGCTCCCAACCCCTGGGCCGCAGACCCTGGGTCCACGGCCTATTGGGGACCAGGCGCAAAGCTCTGCTGCGCCCCAGCCTCCAGCAGGAGGTGAGCAGCGGGTGAGGGAGCGAAGCTTAGTCTGTATTTACAGCCGCTCCCCATCACTCAAACCACCACCTGAGCTCTGCCTCTTCCCCTGCTACCCCTTCACGGAAATACTGTCTTCCATGAAACCTGGTTCCTGGTGCCAAAAAGGCTGGGGACTGCTGATCTAGGTGACTATTTTTTGTAACAAGCCTTGACTCTTTAAATTGTCTAATATACGACTTGAATAAAAATAACTAAATGAAAAGTTTTTTTGTAACCATAATGAGAACATTTGACTAAAGATGGCATTCAGATCACATGTATCTCCCTTCTCCCACCTGATAGGCCAACTGAAGAATAAACACAAAATGACAAAGAATGGCAAAGGGAATGGAGGAGGTGCCAACAGCAGACAAGTGACTCCAAAATTTCTGGGAGATAAAAAAATCTCATGATGTATAGTGGCACACACAGCAGGGCACAGAAGACAAGCCTAGTGGGCAAAGGGAAAACTTAACTGTTCAGAGAAAAATAACTGTGTTGTGTATGTGGAAGGTCCCAATGTAAAGGCCAACTCTCCGTCTCAGCCACCAGGAACCTAAGGCAGGCACTCGACCAGTGCCTTCCACAAATCCCACCCCATGTAGAGGGAGCTCACAGTTTGCTTCTTAGGGCTCCACTCTTGAAAACATAAACAGAGAAACAAAAATCATCAGACAAACGAGGAAAGCCTATGATTTTTCCTAACACCATTCTCTATGCATGTGTAAAGGGAAATACCAGAAATAATTAAGCCTCTTCTTTCCAAAAAAAAGGGATACAGTCAATTCCTGTTATTCATGGTAATACTCTACAAAGTCACCGTGATCACTGAATCAGTAAATACCGTCCCATTGCTCCTAGGGGAAAACACAGGGTTAGGTTCCTGCAAGTCTGTGGTCACAACATTTCCATCAACTGATCACTTCCTAAGTTAGCTTTACACATGTATCTGTTTAATGACACCTTCTGTTGCGATGTAT